GCCATGCAACCTGCGAAATGCTATTGCGAATCGTGGAGCGTGCTTATTACAGAAAGAGGATGCTATCCAAAGGCAATTCCAGGAAGTTAACTAATTAACATAATTTTTGCTGCCTCAAATTCTTTTTTTTCCAGAGCGTTGACTGAAAGGCTTATTTGTGGTCCGTGGTCATACTTACCATGTTACGCTCTAGCACCTCGTGTTACACCTGTGCACCAATACGCCAATTAGGCGCTGCTACCTTCTTGATCAAAGTCGGTACGCACTTGCAGGCTTCGTTTGTTTGGCATACTCATCATGACTGTGCAGTATTCACGTTATAACAACGGGGAAGTTCTGTCAGCTCGCCATGGACTTTTGAATGGAGAGCTAAGTATGGCACTAGAGTCAGGAATGTGTTTGAAAATATCGAAAGGACAGTTGACACGTGCATGTCGTAAGGGAGTCGTAAGCCGTTTGGGATTGCAATGGTGCGGTGTACAAGCAGTGCAGTGCAACCTTCGACCACATAAACACATTCTTGACACGATCGAACTTGGTGCAGTTCAAGTGCAGTGGGCACCTATCTTTTACTGGGACATAGGTCGAAACTTGGATGTGCAGAAATTCGAGCCTACGAGAAACTTGTCTCTTTAGAGACGGATGTCACATTCGTTTTGCGTTGAAAGCCCTGGCTTTCGCCCTGCACGACCTTCTCGCACGTTTTCAACGATTTAGGGGGGGGCGGGGAGGGGGAGAGTGTAATTGTGCTCATAACTCGCCAGCAGTCCCGGCTACCTTCATCAACAAGCGTCCTGGGTTCTGCTGACCTAACCATAAGTCTCCAATTGCAAACGCGAGGTCTTTTGACGAAAGAGCCCTGTAAAGAGCATCTGAAATCAAAGTACAAGCAATGCAAATTCTTTTGCCATGTTGTATTAGTAAAGTTGGTTGAATATTGCCGGAAGGTAGGGATCTCTGGAATGACGTCGTTGATCATGAACAGTTCAGCAGAACCAAGAAAGTCCGCATAGCTGGAAATTCCGAAAGCGGCATAACAGTGAGCAGGGTACAGCATCGTTTTGTCAAACCCATGAGGGGTCGTACTTTTGCTCTGAGGAGGGGGGAGGGTCGTATTTGTAAGACAAATTTATTTTGATAGTTGATTTTTTTCTTGTGGAAAAGGGGGGTCGTATTAATTTTTTGTTTTATATGCACTATATGCATTCTGTACGCCCGTGGGATATACGTTGCATAGTTATTGTATACCTCCCCTGCTCGACAACTTTTTCGCCGACTATATGCTCTCATCGCTTCGAGGTGGAGGTGGGGTCGTGCCTGAACCCCAAAAGGGGGGGGGTCGTACTCACACCACATTTCGCACAGCCCCATGCTGTACCCTGACAGTGAGTTCCGTGGACCCTAAGTTGCGTCTAGATTTGCCCTGCTACTCACAAGGATATCATCTCGCCATTGCCATTCAGGATGGGATGCATACTCCTAGAAGCATCTTCGAACGCTGATTTCAGATCTGACTTCCAAATCTGCTAAACGATTCTAGGAGAGAAGTTACGGACCTTTTTTCCTACTGTGCTTAACCATTGCGGTGGGCCCCTGCCCATACTTTGCGCTTGTGAACCCCTTGTGACACAATAGCACGTGGCTTGTTGGCGCAGCAGTAGGTGAGCGGACTCATAGCAGTTGGACAAAGGTTCAAATCCTTGATGCATTTCGTAGTTTTGCTTTTTCTTGAAACGTATGCTAAACACTTGGAAAGTAGTTTTAGGTACCAGTTCGACCATCAGCGGCCCCTCTCTGCTCCTTGTTGAGCCCTGTTAACGATTTCGGGGAGATATTTCAAGTGCAGTGAATGCGCTGATGTGTCAGCCTTATTTGGAGCATATATTGCTCTAGTGCTTAACATCAAGCGAGAACATAAGATATCTTAATACGAAAATGGCGTGTTGACAGGTAGGAAGACCTTCTAAAAGCTCTGGAGGTGAATCGCTCTGCTCTCACTTCCTTTCACTTATTCTCTCGGCAATATTCATCTTACTGCCCCAGTCATCCGAAATCTAGGCAGGTTTGACCGACTTTTCTACGCGAGTGGAATTGGCTGAAATTTAGTCTCTTGAGGTAAAACCTTCGAATGATGAATATCACACCAAAATACCCCAAATCGCCGGCGCCTGTGGCGGCGAGTGAGGAGATTTCGGATCAATGTGATATTCGTATTCAGGAGGTAAAGTTACCCTCAATCCAACAAGTGAGCTAGGTGTTCAAGGAGAAAAAAGTCGGTCAAAAATAGGCACGATTCAGATGATTGCGGCAGTAAAGGATAAAGTGAGACTTGATAGGTAGCACGCTATGGCTTAGCCTCAGCTAAACCTCACGCATACTATACTCTGGACTGGAACGAAAGTGAAGCCCTCAAGAGAACCTTCAGAACATCTCCTCTAGGAGCTCCACACCTTGAAAGTGCAGTCTTCCTCTCTTTTCAGCTTAGCGACCGCACAAGATCGCAGGATCAGAATTCCCCACTAGATGTGATAGCAACAAAGTCGGGCAAAACATACCCCCAGTTATTGGACGTAGGATCCGAGAGCTGTTGGCCGATATTGTGAGTGTGGCGTGAAGAGAACTACTACATATGGCGAAGTCCTGTGTTATGCAAACATCAAATGTTGTAATCAACAAAGAGGTCAAAACTTTCGGTTCAAGTGCTTGAAGCAGATATGAAGGTTTATTTGGCTCCCTGCTTGAGCGGGTAGGTAAGAGTAGGATTCCTCTTGAAAGTCATCCAGGGCTCAATAAGGTGCAGAGTGGTTCTAGTGCTGTCCGAACTGGTACGTAAAACTACTTTTCAAGTGTTTAGCATACGTTTCAAGAAGAAGCATAACTAGGCATCAAGGATTTGAACCTTTGTCCCACTGCTACGAGCCCGCTCACCTACCTGCTGCGCCATCGAGCCACGGCTGCGGTTGTGTCACAAGGGGTTCACAAGCGCCAAGTATGGGCAGGGGGCCCATCGCAAGGCTAAGCACTGTAGGAAAAAAGGTCCGTAACTTCTCTTATAGAATCGTTTAGCAGATTTGGAAGTCAGATCTGAAATCAGCGTCCGAAGATGCTTCTAGGAGTATACATCCCATCCTGAATGGCCATGGCGAGTTGGTATCCTTACCTTGTCAGATATATACCGTTTATAACATAATTCCCATGCTCAAGCAATTCGTAGGCCTCCTTCCTTGCACAAGTAGTTTCTTCCTGATTCTCAGAGATTACCGCTCTTTCGCGCCCTCTCAAGAAGCAAGGAAGGGCTGATGCCCTCATAAGTGGCAGTTCTGACGTCTCCCCAATTTTCCCGCCCGCCGAACTCAAATATAGCATGAGCTCACTTTTACCCCGCGTTTTTTGACTGTTGCGTAATGTTAGCATTGAATAATGCCAAGAAGTGGGGCAGAGGGCGTAGAGCGTTGATTTGCTGGCATGAAACGAGCAGGTCCAGAGAACTCGTACAAAGCGTTCGTCACATTTTTTGTGCTTTGTTTTGCTCCCTGATGAGCCATTTAGCGACAATAGGTTTAGAATTGAACACCCCTATGTACAATATAGAATCGCTGACTTCTTCTTTTAGAAAGATATCATCGAAGCCGCAGAGGAAATGATTACCGACCTTCGTTTGGAAGATAAACGCAACGCACTCGCTTCTACTCTTTCTGGCGGAATGCAGAGACGGCTCTGTATAGGGATCGCGTTCATTGCAGGTTAGTCCAACCCATCTGCACGGTCAAGGATACGTGGCACAGATTTGTTCCAATGAGCATATGTGGAGGAAGCACATTTACACGTGACTATATTGTCGCCTTTGATTCCTTCCTAGAGTTAAATCAGAAACGATTCTTTGGAAGGCCTCCAAGATGAAAGTGTGCTAACTAGGGAAGGTCAACAGGTCAGTCCGGCCTAGTGCAGTGAGAGGCATTTCTTTGTACGCAGGTTGCAACGATGAACACAAATCACTGGCGAGAAATTTGTGAGGCGGCTCTCAAAACGAAGTTTTGGAGGGTATCCAAGAGTCTTGCTATTTTACATGCTATCACCTGGAAGCGATGGAGCGTCCCTACATCTAGAAGGAGAAAACGTCTTAACTGTCAACGGGGCGGATCAGGTAGTGAGCGGGTTTTGTAGGCAAGTTGTTGAATGTTTGATTCCCGTGTGGAGCCCTGTCTTTGTGTTTTCTAGAGACATGGCTAATGAAGCTTCTAACATTCATGCTCGCCCGTGCTGGCCAGTAAGGGGACTACGATTGATTTCAGAGGTGTAGACCCCTTTAGTCTGAAAGAGTATTTGTGCTTACTCCACTCTTATCAAATTCCACGATTGATTTCACGATGATTAGTTTGATTTTCATATTTACGGATTTGATATTCCCACCCTAGCTTGAAAATGCGGGTTTGTACGGGTGCATCGCAAGAGCCTGGAGCACACCTGTTTCCGGATGGAATCTTCTCGCGTTCACCTTAAAAATGATGAAGTATGTGCGAACGTGTGAGCCAGATGTGGCAGCTTGCGAAAAGACATGGAAAACGAGCGAATTCAGCTCGAAGGCCGATAATCAGGGCCCACCAGTGAGTTCAGCCCCTGGGTACGTCGGAGCATACATCTTTGTAAATGGCCTGTCTGTCCTATTAGCCTTCCTGTTAGGTTTAATATTATTTGAATGAAACCATTTTTTTCAATCTTTTCACATAAACCAGTAACTTTTTGTCGTCTTGTATGTACGTATCAGTCGGATAGCCCAGCTGACGCCAGGCGTTCCTCATTCGCCGGGCCGACATAGCTTTGCTAAGGGTCTTCCCTCAAGCGAGCTAGAATGCACAAATTATACCTAATGGTCATAGAGGATTTTTCAATGGTAATAAAAAAGATCGAAGCTTGCTCTACATCAGTCATGCATACTTCACATCTGTTCTCTCTCGCTAAAGCTTGACTTGTGAAGTCAGGGAATATTGGTGTCCTGTTGATTGTTGCGACTTGGCGAAATGCCAAGCAGGTTGGCAAGATGCCAGAACCATGTGAAGGGACCGGATCTTAGTCGCACGACTGTATGGGTCTTGTCCAATCGCAGCAGCTATCGCCGCGCGCGGCGAACGAAACATGGAAGCCGTGACCTCTTGCGAAGTCCCAACCATACACCCGGGGGAGCAGAAGCTGCAAGGGAAGCTAGGATCTGCCAACAACGTGAGTGTCGCTTTGATTCATGCTGAAGTCGCTTTCGTATTGCGCGTTTGTCTTCCGGTGGAAATAGATGGAAAGTCGATACGCATGCAACTCGACACTGGAGCAGATTTTGCATTACTAAGCCAAAGAGACTGTAACGCTGCTGGTCGTCCGAAGATGCAGCCTCCTCGACTGACGCTGAAGTCTGCCGTTGACAAGCCGATCAACGTTTCAAGGTCGCTACGACTGCAACTTCATCATCAGTGGTCACCTAGGGCGAGCAGCTACCTATTACGTAGCCGACACGCTATTTAGTCTAGACTGGATCGCTCACGAGCGGTTGTTCCATCGGCCAACGGAAGGAACATTCCACAACATATCTCCAAAGAAGCTCAGCACATTGAACTCTCATCTCACGCGCCTGAAGAGGACGATTCCAGCAGCCTTCACTGATAGGAATTAACAAGGAGCCGCTCTCTTTCAGTCACACCGCCCTGCGTTCTCTATGCAGCCCCTGGCCCAGAAGTTGCTTTTTTTGCATTCCCAGTAGTAGATATCATCCAATGTAAAGAAAAAAATACGAAAAACAACAAAAACACGGGAGAAAAACTCTTGAAAGAAAAGAATTTTCTAAAAACTCGGCGTACGAATTTGAGGGTTACGGTAGCGTGCATCTTTTAGTGTAGTGTAGTGCGTCGAGCTTTTGCACCACGAAAATTGCATCACTCGTGATTTTTACGCGTTTTACCTTACGAGATGGGTTGCAGTTGACTGTATGTGCTCCCAATGAATAAAATGTGTGAAGGAGAGCAGAATTATTATGGGCACGAGCGCGGTAGGCAAAAGGCCATGCAATTCCGATCAATATCAGCCGTCTCAACAAAGAACAATTGAGCGGCCCTCCGTCAGAGGGCATCTAGCAAGTGGGCGGTCCAACTGGGCGGGCGTTAGAACTAGAATTTTCAGCGGCTGTAGCTCGCTCCTCGCTTGCTGTTTAGTTGCGGGAGTGAAATACTCGCCTAGCTTGGGGGCTGGACTACTTGCACAAGGAAGGTCAACCATGCATTATTTCAACGCGGGGGCTGACTTTAAGCTATCACTGCTCTGATATTGGCGAGAAAGTTCTGTCATATTTTTTCAAGTTAGGCTTTTTTTATAGAGAGGCGTACAAGGTCAAAATTATACAGCAATATTATTGCGGGGTTCTTGCCAGCCTTAGCAGTTAGCTAGAAGCACCTCATGGGTGCCATCGCTTCACAGTGCAGGCCGGCGCGACACAAAGATGGAAGTCATCCTTGAATTTTGAGGTCGGGTCGTGGAGGATTTTTCTTTCATAAAGTGGTCAAGCATGGAAGAAAACTGGCAGTCAGAAAGAGCAATGACTGGGTTGGACCGGTGCAAAGAGAGAGCCATCCAGTTTATTGCATGGAGTACGGCTCGACCTCTTTTGTGGACGGTATGGGTTGCACTATCACGTTGGAGGCGGACTACGCGAACAAATTTTCCCCTCTAATCGACGTCTCAACTGCTTAGTGTAAGGAATGACCTAGACGGCAGCTTCTTCATCCAGCAGTTTCACGATTCCGCAGCTCCCTCAAGCTGAGTTCACAGGTAACCCAAACCTCACTTCGTCATCAAAACTGTAGGCTCCCGCTTTGAAGCATTACGTCGTGGAAGGTTGTCCGATAATTGGGGCATCGTCCTCATGCAGCTCCATTTTTTTTGGCATCGGCAGCTGTCATGCTGCCGTCAGGGTCGCAGAAGAAAGAGTTTGAAGAAGCGCTTGGAGGGGGGGGGGTCGGTGCCGATGGTAGCGGATAAATTCCTTGTCCATATTGCAAAAGAGAAGAAGCAGGAGTCAAGCGAGTGGTACTATAGAAAGACCATTCCTTGATGTATAAGTGCTCACATTACCGGTCACCCTCTTCAGGTAATGGGCAAGTATTTCGAGTTCAAAAAAAAAGTATGACAGGATTTCTCCGCCAACCGAATATAGACTGCTGAATTTGTGTGTCGATTTGTATGTTCGTATGTATGTGTGCATGTATGTATGCATGTCCGCAAATTCATAGCGCGGCCAACACCGCCTTAAAGAGATGGTAGGAACGCTCTTTATCTGTCCTATTGTAATTGACTTCCTACAATCAGTGCAATCCGCGCTGTGAATTTTTCAAATTCCCTTTTCTACAGCGTCTTATCGAGTGTTCCCTTTTCGAACTCTACATTACCTGTTGGAGGTGACTTCCTACAGTTACTGCGAACCGCGCTGTGAATTTGCGGAACACACAAATTCAGCAGTCTATATCCGGTTGACGGAGAAATTCTGTCATAGTCTTTTAAACTTGAAATAAATACTTGCCCATTATCTGAAGAGGGTGACCGGTAATGTGAGCTGTTATACATCAAAGGAATGGTCTTTCATAGGTACCACTCGCTTGACTTCTGCTTCTTCTCTTTTTACAATATGGACTGGAATTCTATTCGCTACCGTCGACACCGCCCCCCCCCCAAGCGCTTCTTCAAACTCTTTCTTCTGCGACCCTAAAGGCAGCATGACGCTGCCGATGCAAAAAAATAAAGCTGCATGAGAGCAACGCCCCCAGTTATCGGCTAACCTTCCACGACGTAATGCTTTAGAGCGGGAGCCTACAGTTTTGATGACGAAGTGAGGTTTGGGTGTACATGTGAACTCAGCTTTAGGGAGCTGCGAATCGTGAAACTGCTGGATGAAGATGCCGTCTAGGTCATTCCTTACACTAAGCAGTTGAGACGTCGATTAGAGGGGAAAATTTGTTCGCGTAGTCCGCCTCCAACGTGATAGTGCAACCCATACCGTCCACAAAAGAGGTCGAGCCGTACTCCATGCAATAAACTGGATGGCTCTCTCTTTGCACCGGTCCAACCCAGTCATTGCTTTTTCTGACTGCGATGGCACCCATGAGGTTGCTTGAGCTAACTGCTTACAAGGGAGGTCGTTCAGGCCGTGGTGAGCTTTTTCAAAACGATTTGTTGCATGTTGTAGGGGTCCATACAAGGACCACACAGATGGGTTTCATTTTTGCTAAACGCTATTGGGAATGTCAAAAAAGGAATAAAAACAAATCGCTCAAAATACGCAAGTTTTATCATCTCATTCGCATCTGTTTCAGCTGTAAAGCAGAATACATAGAGTTTATAAAGTGTTCCTCAACTAGACATGAAAAACAATATTGAATAAGGTCGAAATTGAAGTGCTTTACTTTGCATACAGTGCAGTTTCTTTAGGGGTTTATGCAGCATCCCTTCGCGCTCGCAGTGGCCATTTAGCGCCACGCTGGCCCCAGATCACGTCGGCGCCATAAATAATTGTCAGAATCGTGATCAGGGCCATTGATTACCCCTATTTAAGAGGTTTCAGCGAAAAAATTTTTTCGAGTTTTTTTGGTGGTCATGGACTTGACCATTTGGATGGCAGTGACAGGCGAACCCTCCATTGAGTATCCTCTCTGGCATACAAACCACCAGAAATTTTTCATTTCTTGCACTCTCAACTTCAGTAGGTTTACATAGAACACCGTGCTGGCTTCGGAGTCATTAAACGAGCATCCTGAAACTTTCTCCACTTTTACCGTCTTCGACAATTTCGACAAAGAACTCGTTACCACCTGCCCGGAAAAAAGATCTTGTTTCTCCCATATCAAAGGTATTAGTGGTGTGCAGTGTATGTGCCTCACTTTTTGTGTAGTTGTTAATTCTCGTCTGCATACTAACAAATGAAAAGCCCCTAGCTGGAGACATGGCAGGCATCATAACACAAAAAACTCGGAAAAATTTTTTCGGCGTAACTCTATACGTAGGGGTAGTTGATGGTCCTGATCACGGTTCTGACACTTATTTTTGACGCGGAGGCCATCTGGGGCCAGTATGGCGCTAAATAGCCCCGCCGCGCAGACTGACAATGATGCTAGTACGAGAAAGCCTTTGCACCAAATTGGCGACACATTGCGCCATATTTAAAATGAGTGTCATGTTCATGATCAGAGCATCGGATAACCGCCGTAACCCAAGTTTCATAGAGAGTTTCTTCGAAAGTTCTTAGAGAGTTTCTTCGAAAGTAGTATTTCGCGAGCGTAATAATTGAGTGAGGCCCCGTTGTGAACCGTTCCCGCATGGAATGTGCCTTTAAATGGCGTATATCCGGGTCATACACATTATGGGGCATACAGGAATACAAGAAGCAAGAAATGTGAAAAATGCAAAAACTGTGTCGGCAAGGGGATCCGATCCATAAACCCACCCGACCGAGAGCCCGTCGCACTATCCACCACACCATCTGCCACTGCGACACTGGAGATACAGGACCTGTTGAAGAGATATGCGCAGATGACCGGAAAACTCCAATGCAGCTCACCGCATGCCAAGTAGACCATTTGGATTTTGACCTTATTTTGCGCTGTTTTTCATGCCTGCTCAAAGGATACCCTACATACTATACCCTGTCAACGCTACAGCTAGAACAGAGGCGAATAAGGTGGTTTAAAAAGTCCATTCTTTTCGAATTATTTTTGACCTTTTTTGACATTCCCAGTACCGTTTAGCAAAAATGAACCCCATCGCTGTGGTCCTCGCATGGACCCCTACAACATGCAACAAACCGTTTTGAAAAAGCTCACCACGGCCTGAACGACCTCCCTTGTAAGCTGGCAAGAACCCCGCAATAACATTGCTGTATAATTTTGATCTTGTACGCCTCTCTATAAAAAGAAAGCCTAGTTTGAAAAAATGTGACAGAACTTTCCCGCCAATATCAATAGCAGTGATAGCTTGAAAGTCAGCCCCCGCGCTGTAATGCATGGTTGACCTTCCTTGTGCAAGTAGTCCAGCCCTCAAGCTAGAGTGTATCACTCTCGCGACTCCACAGCGAGCGAGGAGCGAGCTACAGCCGCTGAAAGTTCTAGTTCTAACGCCCGCCCAGTTGGACCGCCCACTTGCTAGATGCCCTCTGACGGAGGGCCGCTCAGTTGTTCTTTGTTGGGGCGGCGGGCATTAATCGGAATTGCATGTCCTTTTTGCTGACCGCGCTCGTGCCCATAAGTAATTCTGCTCTCCTTTATTACATTTTATTCATTAGGAGCACATACAGTCAACTGCAACCCATCTCGCAAGGTAAAACGCGTAAAAATCACGAGTGATGCAATTTTCGTGGTGCAAAAGCTCGACGCACTACACTACACTAAAAGATGCACGCTACCGTAACCCTAAATTCGGACGCCGAGTTTTTGAAAGTTTCTTTTCTTTCAAGAGTTTTTCTTCCGTGTTTTTGTTGTTTTTCGTATTTTTTTCTTTACATTGGATGATATCTACTACTGGGAATGCAAAAAAAGCAACTTCGGGCCAGGGGCTGCATAGAGACCGCAGGGCGGTGTGACTGTCAGGGAGCGTTTTTGTTTACGGTGTTCACAAAGACTTCTCTTGCTCTTTTTCGGTCTTTGGAGAATTACTTATACGTACTTACTTACTTACTCAGCTACTGGTTAATAATTGAACAGCAACTATTCATGACACTTTATCGCGAAGCTATCTTTAAGGAAGGAGTTCACACACTGATCCTCCAATACTTGGCAGTTAGTGGTAAGAGACGTAGTGGGAACGACCTTTCTCCTGGTTAAAGAATGGCCTAGGTTTGCCTCGATGTCCCATGAGGAAGCAATTTATTTCTACTAATTGTGGATCACTATGGACTACGGAGCGTAAGACGATGTTTAAGATCATCACGTTCAAAAATGTGGAAAAAAATAGGAATGGCAGGGAAGCAAAGATAACCGGGCAGCGAGCTGCTATACCATTTGGAAGCTAGTACCTTTAGCTATGTATCTGTGAAATTTGGCGAACCTACCACAGAAGAAGTTCTCGAGAAATTAAAAAAAGCCTGAGTGGTGAAAATCAGTGCCGGATTTTCGAATCAGGCGTAATACTAAATGTGATAGAGTGCGACAAATTTATCTTGTGCCAGACCGGCCGCAGATGCAATGTGGGTGGTCTCAAAAACTCTGAGACAAAACTCACAAGCGTCAATTTTGTATAGATGCAGATGGGAGGTCGCCTGAATCTTGCCATGAGAGTTACCTGGGTCCAATGATCATGGGTGGATGATCATCATAGCGAAGGATTCCTGCGCGGAGGTGAACGCACACAGTGGTGACGGAGCCAAGTAGAGGAATGGGCTGAGTGGGCGTGGAGCGTCCGAGCACTAACATAGCGAAGGATTCCTGTCCTTTCCAGCGGCTCCGTATAGACAACAGAATCGCTGCTGTCGGTGTATACTGCTTCTTCCTCGACAATCAGGTCGACAAATGGATGGTACCGCTCAACTAAAAGAAGGCCTTCGTTGCTTGTCATAGTGCGCAGAACCGCCGAGTATTGTACCTGGAATACATATTAAAGGGAACCCAGTGCTAGAAAACATAAACATTACTGAGAACGCTGGATTCAGTTTCCGCTCAAATCGCGGAGCGCCAGCAAAAAGCGTGGCGATTTCACGCTCATACTGTTTCTCATGATAAGTCAGATCGCAAGTTTTTGTCCATTGTCGCCGTCGAGAATTTAGATGACCAGAGTTCACAATGCACGATATGATTTGAAACAAACCGATCAGTAACAGACTGGTTCAAACGCTTTCGACAGCGGGTCATTGATGCGGAAGTTATCTACTCAATTCGAGGCCAAATGTTACCTTTTTTACCTTTTTCATCTTCCTTTTAAATGATTGGAACCTCCCTCTTTTTTTTGAGTGGGATGACCTAATATATACCATTTTCACTTTAAATCGGACACTTTTCAAATCAAATCGGACACTATAGATTAGTTCAAACCAAATCGACACCTTTTCAAACCAATATCGGACACTTTTGCAGAACAAACTCGACACTTTTTACTTTAAATCAAAGTCGGACACAACCCTTAACAATTGAGGTGGGTATGGTAACTAGACCGACGCTAGGTACTGGTTGAAGCCCCGCCGCCCCATTATGCCCCGCCTGCACCTTCTCCAGCGCGGATAGGAGTATCGCGAGCATGACTTTAATGAAATCTGCTCCTTCGACTGTTTTATTCGTTTTGCCCTTGCACAAGCGACACTTCAACTGAAAAAGATTGATAGCCTACCAGCAGATCTGACTTCCGCGCCCACTAAACCGAATGCAAGTTTACGCTAAGTTCTGGATTCTTTATAACATTTTTCGACGATAGTTGCTTTTCACATCCCAATCTTCACAAAACAATAACCTCATTGCAGCAGCCACGACAAGCCCGCCCATCTGTACTCCGCCCACTTGTGTTTATGCGTTTTTTCTTTATTCGGATTTCTTCGGAATTTTCGTCGTTGCTCCGCTGGCGCCAGCTATTCCTCAAAAAGATAGGTCGATTTAAGAACCATATAATAGTCTTCCTTTTCACTGGTCTGCATTTGGAAGGAAAACTACATAGCAATAGCGGTTCTATGTGAGTGTTTTGGGTATTCTGCTGAACCAGTGTACAAAGGCACAATCTGCGTCCATTTAATGTTTAGACGCTTTTTTGGGCAATGTAGTTCGCGAGATGGAAGAGGTCCTACTTCCGCACTTAGAAAACGTGAGGAAGGTGCGACGTTTGGCGGCGGAGCTCGTCTCGCCCAATCCCTAATGGCTAGCGGCCACTTTCAACTCCAATTGGCTTCCACGTAGTACGGTTGTTCCTCTACCACCTCTCTCCAATTTGAGAGTGAGGTGAGAAGGAGGAGCTGGGTATTCGTCCAACCAGGGTCTTTCATGTACGTACAAGCGCTGTTCGGCACGGGATTTTTATAGGGCGTTTGGACCGGTTCTTTCTGTTCTCTTCACTTTCGTGTAATTTACGTCTTATACAATCTTACCGTTGCTATTAGGGGCTGCCGATCAATAACATTGTAATTGATAGCAATCCGGACTCAGCATTTTCAAATGGCGTGCTTGTGGTTTTCATAACGAAGGTCATACTATTTGAATAGCTCACAAGAGACACAGGTCTCGTCAGAGTGAGACTGTGAAGCGAAACTAGTGGACTAACAAAAGTGCACGACTGCTTCCCCTTTCCCCAAGGTGGAATGCGCGAAAAAAGGGCCCTCGAAAGGAGCAACTCCACAATCATGGCCATCTCGGGAAGGTAATCGAATCTTCGACCTTCTCCGTCTTCAATTACCAAACTCTGGGGGAAGTGAGCCGTCTAATCCTTTTGAGAGATAGGCGGGGGCAGTCATCGAGAGCAATTATATTCAATCACAATAATTATAATATTGACTAATATCGTGCGCAGACAGAATGAAATTAGCTGTCGAAAAATACAGTTTACGTTGACACACTGTTTTCGTGCAGGCACCTGAAGCTGGAAAACGATTTTGCATTATGCAGCCCTTGTTCACCACTTTTTTTCGGAATTCTTCATTCGTAGGTTCGAAAATCGTGATTCTCGATGAGCCAACAGCTGGTATCGATCCGTTCGCTAGACGTGCTATCTGGGATCTTATATTGAAGTACAAGGAAAATCATACTGTAATCCTCGCTACACATTTCATGGACGAGGCTGATATCCTCGGTGATCGTATTGCAGTTCTATCAGAGGTACGACAGTTTGCTCCATTAAGGAATTTGCCTCAAAATGCTGTTAGACTGTTCAATGAAGCATTTTCACAGTCCTGTACAAATCGCGAACCACATTCGACATATTGTGCTTGAACCGTTCCAAGGAGGATTTGGAAGCGATGGCCCTCGTAACCACAGATCACTTTTTCGCGTCGGACTAGAGGGGGAAGGTTAGCAGATCAGTCTGGCTATTTGTAGTGAGATGGCCCACTGTGCGTACTTTGCAGCGCTCAGCTTGAAGTTTTCAGTAACTCATTACTCGGCTGTCTAGTGAAGCTTACAGAGGTTTTTTTCGCATCACGTTTTAGGCCCACTCTACAGCATGGTAGCTTGCCGAATAAGTGGGGCGAGGGGAGAAGGGGAGGTGGGAATAGGGGAAGGAGACAACATTCGTGGTAACGTAGCGGAGTGGTCGAAAAGGTGGTTAGTAGGAATCATGTCAGAGCATGGGGTTGTCCATCCACGTCAACTTTGCTTTTCTGTGATTCGCCGTCAACATGTAGACTATCATGGCCATCTGATCGCTGCTTGTAAGGGTGAATTCACTTCTCAATTTTTCGACTTTGGATCCTTGGCTCGTGAGCTGTGAGCAGGAAGCTATCAAGAAATTAGTTGAAGCACCGCGGACGCTATAAGCGATTGTGACCAGCACTTCATTCTGACTTTACTTTTTGCTATTCGCCATTTACCTATCATATTTACCTAGTCGTCGCTGTTCAGAGGAAGTTCTCGCGATCAAGTGATCTATTAAATGCCATGGGCTTTGGTAGCGAGGTCTGCACTCACAGAGAATTACCGCTTTTGCTGTACGAATGTGCAAGGTGGACAGTCGAGCACGCAACTTTATCGCAACTCGAAGGCAGTCAGTATATTCCTTTGATGTTCAAAGGACACGGCAATTTTGCCAAACATTGAGGACGTACTACTGCCGCAGCTGCAAAAAAAAACGTGAGAAAAGCAGTTTTCGCTCGCGGTGAAGCCCACGTTAAGTTCCAAATGTCCCCGTGATACTGTTATCCCGCTATTAGCTCTCTCCATTCCAATTAGGAATGAGGTGATAAGGAGAAGAGCTGGCACCAAAAAATGAGAACTTCGTCCAACCATGCCCTTTCTCCTCCCTCTGCACGTACAAGCGCGGCTCAGTATCGCGTTCTACACAAAGCGTCTTCATAGAGTTCCTTTGCTCTTCCTTACTAAATTGTGTATATTAACAACTTATCATTTACAACTGAACCGCGCAACCTATTTTGGAATGAATGGGTGCCTTTGACAGTTTTAGGTGATAAGTCGGCGAATTACAGCGATAGCTACAGTCCGTGTTGCCCGCAGCGTATCAGGACGGTCGCATGTGCTCGGTAAAAAAACGGTAGCATGCCGATTTTTGCAAGTCCTTTAGTTTTAGCCCTTGAAAATGAGAGAGAACGGTCTGTGAGCCGAGGAATTCAGAAAGGGCGCGGGTGTCGATTTGGTGAGGAACTTATACAGTGAGGCGAGGTCACCGTCAGAGAGAGATAGGTTTTGTGGAGTGTGTCTGGAGTTTTCTTGGCTTTCTTTTCAGGTCACTTGTCGGATACTGGTCCATAATTGCACACCCTCTATTCATGATACTTGATCGCGTTGATTGTCTCAAAGACCACTCCCCTTCTAGGTAGACTGAAGTTTGCTCCTTCCCAAAATTTCATCTTGGCTGGCAGGTGTTGATATATCCATCAACAAACTACTTGAACAGCAGGTTGAAATCACGATTAGGTCAAGAATTATTTGTAATCAAAAAATCATTATTGATAATGATCATTTGTATGTTGGGAGTAATGTTTGAGTAGACGACTTTCAATCGTAGCTGTCTTAGCTGATTGCGCAGATTCTCTCTCTCTATAATCGAATCTCGAAAAAGATGAACACTGCAGATCACTAACCCAACGCGTGTGTCAATGTCTCGTGTGGACCTCAGTTTCTTCTGTGGGTAGTGGTGGGCATTAGGGGGACGGTCAAGAGAATCGCAATTTGCCGCTTTGTCGCGCGCAGCAACGGGCGCGACGTTTCCATAATCTTGCATCACCAATTTCGATTGCAGGTAGGCAAGGACATGGTAGAAACTCATGTCTTTTTTGGTCGTAGCTTGTCAGCTCTCGGGCAGTGCCTAAAATCGTCGTCTAGCAGGCGCGACGCCGCACCCGGCGCCTCCTGGTGCTGCAATTTACGATTCTCTTGCCACAGACCAGAGTAGAGCAGGTTGCAGTGGTGCAGAGTATGGAAAAGGTCCACCAGTTGCATTGTTGAGTCTTTTCACCAGTTGCATTGTTGGGTCTTTTCACCAGTTGAATTGCTGGGTCTTATGTCTTGACTTTTCAACATTTTTCTTAATGATGGGTGTGTATGTTAGAACCTCGCTGATAACTTGATCAGAATTATAACGACTAGCTCTTGTCGACAGGGCATATATGGGTGGCGACCAAGGAACGTGTAGGAATCGTCAGGATCCGATCATGGTCGTCTTCATATCACACCAATGGTTTCGATCGGTTGAGGTTCGCTCTAACTCCAACAGCCTAAGCTCCTCGCAACGTCTACGTTAATCTTCAAGGAAATCTAGTGATGGAAATTGTAGATTACCTACTTCTGGCAACTCGTAGAAATGCCAGGTTAGAATCTGATGGAAGATCCAATCCTTCGGAATGGACCGTGCTAGCGGAGGTTTCTAAACAGCTGGTAAGGCCACCACAAATGCTGACTTCGCTCGACCTGCTGCTATGCTTTGGACTGTGTTCAAAGGCAGTGCCAGCGTCCAGTTGAGTTCTTCTCCCCCTTCGTGAGCAGGTAGCCAGGTTTGCAGAGGCGGCGATTACACTCTACAGTGAGCAGGCGCACGATAGCATCGTTCCTCTCATTGGTCCAACCCTCTATCATTGGCACCGCCCACCGTTCACTTTTAGTGGTTGCCTGATGATGCGGTTGTTCTGCTACTGATTCCACTACCTCTCCACTACATCTGCTACTTCTCCACTTCGAATGATGAGAGTGAGGTGATAAGGGAAAACAGCTGATACCAACAAGTAAGAACCCGTGCGGTGCACGTACAACCTCATATCGGATGGGGTTCCACATAGGATGTTTCCAGCGGTTTTTTTCCGCTTTTTCTTCACTGCTGGATCATTTGCTACCTAGCTATTACTATATGAGCCTATAACTATAACTTATCATATTTGAACGCGGACTCAGCCTTTGAAGATGTTGTGCGAAAAAAAGCATCTCTCTACATCCTCAACTGTAACTTTCTTCAGAGAACATAGAGATTTGAAAACAGACTAAGCTCAGCGTCTCAAGTGGCATACGTAAATATGCCTCTCACCGCTGCAGCCAGACTAACCTGTTGACAAGGACACAACTTCATTTGTCGAATTCTGTAACGTCGTTTAAACCACAAGCGCGTGCCAG